GACTCAGCTCGATGAGCTCTTTCGAATGAGCTATCATTCAAAAAATTTAATTTTTATCCCAAAAATGAGCTTACTACTCCCTATGGTTTTTGACCATTTCGAGCCTTATATCTCGATCCACAAGATTCTCCGTGAAAAAAGATTGGTACCGTCCGACTCAGCACCTTTCTCTACCCTATTTATGATATATTGACCATTTTGAGAACTTTTTAAAAGTTGTAACCTCATAACCGAAAAGTACCCTGATTTTTTACTTGTTTTACCTGTTTAAAACTAAATATCTATATATAAATTGGACACATAATCCGTTTGCACCTAAATTGTAAATAAATATCCAAACAATAATCATATAATAAAAAAATAATGGATTAAATATTTCTTTCATAAAATAAATCAAAATCCCGTCAGAGATAATAAAAATTGCATTTCCAGCCTTGTCGTATAAATAAAACTTAAAAATATTTTTGCCTTTATTTTTATTAAATTATGGTTTTTTTTTGTTTTTTCTGGTTTAAATTCTATCTAATTATTAATATCTATCTAATTATAGTAAAGCAGCTGGGCTATAGCTATTTCTCTCCTTTAGCTAGTGCAAAAGGTTATTTGGCGGCTGGGAGCGAACCAGCATCTTCAGTAGACCGGACTGATGTGTTAGCCGTTACAACACGCCGCCTACTGCTCAGCCTTAGGAAATTAATAGCTATATGCTTTACATTATTAATATTTCCGTAAAAATATAACATTTCCGGAAAATAACCGATAGAGTACATATCAGGACCTACTTTCTTTTTATTTTTTTATGATATCGATATATAAGTTTACTGGAATTTTTGTAGATTTTTCCTATAGTTGGAAATAACTTTTTGGAAAGTGGATGTATATTTATGGGACACCTATTTTACAAATAAATAGCTGCAACTCTTGATAGCATGATTAGAATTTTTTCAAATTTTAAATATAGTTTGATAATGTCTTTGTGCATTATTTAATAAATTTTCATTCAAATCCGTTAACAACTTACGGACTTAAGCCACAAAATATAGATGGATGTATATTTTTGGGATAGAGTATTGTAAGGCAGATATCATCCTAAAAACAAGTGAAGAGCAATTATCGCTCTAGTTAACGGAAGTTCCCAGAGAAAAGGCAAAGAACGCCACAAACGGCCATTACCATTAGTTATTAGTCGCCCATTATCTGAGCTTAACATCGCCACAAACTTATCCTTGGGAAAGCAATAAGGAAGTAGGCTGGTGCATATAAGCCCTAATGGAATAGGCAAAGGCAGATCACTTCTTCATTAATTCAACAGAGTTGCCGGCCGGCCAATCCATCGAGTCTTATAGGGAAGACGTATTCGCCAACTGCGAGCGATTACCTATTTTCTATACTCTGCGGAGTTCACACATGATTGCAACATGCGCGACTCTGATAATAACATCAATAATACACCAAGCGCTTTACTGTATATTACATTCTCTATTATCTTTCCGGAAAGTTATTTTTCTATTTTTAATTACAAAGTTTTGTTCAATATTAATTCTGGTTTTTCTAAAAGTTTTACCACTTGTATAAACATTTGAAATGTTAATATTAAAATATCCAAAACACAATTTTGTATCAGAATTCTGCTGTGTGTTTTCATTTCATTTGGTGTTTTAAAAATAATTAAAATAATTAGAAGAATGTTTAGAGGATAACCAAGTAATAAACTTGCCCAAAAATCCCATATAATGAAAATATCAATAAAATTGGACATTTTTTTACTTTATTTTTTAAAAGAAGTATAGTAAAATAAAGCAAAATTAGAATAATACTAAAAAATTTTTAAATAAAATTGTCATAATTTAAATATTAATTAAACTATTTCACGCCCATTTTATTTGCCAATAAAAGGGAAGGGAGAACCGGGCTAGAAGTTTAGTCTTGAATTTTCGATCCGCACCAAAAACTTCGCCCGTTTGCTCCCTTCTCTTTATTTTAATCATTTATTTGTGATAAAACTTTGTTAGGGAGCTAGTCTTTAAAACTTTAGGGGAAACGCCTTTCGCGCCCGAGAGTGAGCCGTTGCCCAACGAAAGTGCGGGGTAGCTATAATAAAAATATTTCACATAATAACTTTCAAAATACAAAAAATATTTGTGAGAAAATTTTGTTATTTTAATTAAAACCGTGAGATATTTGTGTGTACTTTAAAAAATATTTATCAATAACTAACAAAAATTAAAAAGCCAATATTGTAAACAATAAAAAGGGGACATACAACAATTACAAAAAAAGTTTACTAAAAATATAATCACTATTTCTTTGCAAATTCAATCTCGCATGTTGACGGTCAAAAATATGGCAAATGAAAAAATAGGGAAAAAATAGGGCGAAAAGTATATAAATAGAGCAAATGCCCTAAAAATAGTGTAAAATGGTCACCCTGATTTCAATATCAAAAATATAAAAATATATTCAAAAATCAAAAATTTTTCAATTTATTTTTAAAATTAAACTTTAAGTTCTGGAAGCAAATCTTCTAATTTCATTTTAAATAAAATATAAAAATTGGTTAATTTTGTTAAGGCTAACGAAAAAAAATAAAAATTAGGTAAACGTCAAAAAATGAAGGTAGGTAGTAGAGATCGGAAATTTTGAAAAACCTGGACCTGTTCCTGGACTCTGGAGTTTGATTTCTTGACCTGGACTGGATCCTGGGCCTGTAGTCCAGGAAATACCCAGGCCCAGGAAAAACCCAGGCCTTGGTCCAGACCCAGGCCTATCTCTAGTAGGTAAGTATATCTATTTAATAAATAGTACCCGATTTCAATGAAAACAAAAAACAAACAAAATTAAAATTTATTTAACAAATCCACATGCCAAATTAAAAAATTTTCTTTAAAATCTTTTAAAAATAAAATTTTCAAAAAAATTTGAAGTAACAACAAATAATTTAATAGAAATTAGATTCCAAAGCCAAACAAAGAGTATCAGCAGTCTGATCACAAGTTAATCCCAGTGAAGGCCCCAATTCATTAGCTGATGATAGGGACCAATCATCCTCCATAGTTAAAGGGTCACAAATAAATGTACAGTCTATTGGGAATTTTTGAATTAGTAAAAGTACTTTTTTTGAAGTTTAAGGTAAGGTTATAATTAGAGACCGGACTGGGAATGTTGTACGTGAATCGAGCTCTCGAAAAATTCTCGACAACCGAGATTTTCGATCGAGATCTCGTCTCAGTCTCTATTTATGATGTAATTATTTAAATAATATTTTTGAGTGGTTTTTGGAATTTTTATCCCCATAAAAATAGGGGCAGCCCAATTTACCGCAACCCCAACCTACCGCCGAAATTCCCCTTTATTGGAAACTTCACCCGTTGATGAATCAACCTTCACCTTTGTTGGAACCTCCGATTTGACAAGTTGGGCTATGGAAAGAATGGGGTGTACTCATAAATATAGTATATGTAATTGGAGTCAGGCCGACTTTACGGACTTGTTATCCCTATATTAATGGAGAACTATGTCGACTTAGGCTATTTTTAAAATATCCATGTTAACCTCCTAATTTTTCTGATTAAATTTCAAAAAATTATTTTAAAGTAAAAAAGTACCAAGATTTTGCTCGTTCTGAACTATTTGAGATTGTAAATCCCCGAGTGTTTTAATCGAATAAATAGTGGATTGGTCAATTAATGTTGTATTTGGTTCCTCCTTTACACCCGTTTGTTCTCGAATATTGAATAATTTGAGAAGTCTAGCTTTGCATTTTTTGCTTAACCCGTCATTGAGAATTGATAATAAACTGAGAAAAATTATTAAATTAAAAAATAATAGAGAATAATCCACAACAGGGGTGTGCCAAAACAGATTTTAAAAAGCGAAACGCTAGAGGCGAAATTAAATTTAAAAAGTGGAACGCGAAATCCGAAACACGAAAGTCCAAAGAACGCGAAAATTTTCAAAAGGCGAAACTGGCACACCCCTTCCTGGTCCACACCTTTTAATTTGTTCATCCTGAAAAAATTGGGGAGCCATAACAAAATGTCTAAGAATTGTTCTCCAATCTTGAAAAGAGACACTATTTGCTGGAAAGAATTTTTGAGAAATTTTTTATTTAAATTTATTTTTTACGAGTTTTAAGATATGCAGAAAGCAAAATTTCCGCCCACCCAGCCAAATGTTTACGACGACCAAAAGTTGGCAAAAAACATTCATTAGAAACTAAACGAGTTATCTGAAGCAAAAAATAATTTTTATTTAAAAAATTATTTTTAAAAATACCTCAAGTAAAAGACAGTGTAAGAGGCCTTTAGAGCTCATTAAATGAAAAATTGGACTGAAAAAAAATTAATCAGAAAGAAAACGGATAAAGTAAAAAATAAAAACGATAGAAAAAATTAAAAGAAAATTAGAAGAAAATAGACATTTTGATAGTTATTCACTAAAAAGGTGTGTATCTAAATTTTCAGAAAATTTGGATCATTGGAAATGAAAAAAATCTCGAAAAAAGGGAGTGGACTTATACTTAACGTATTTACTCGAATAATTCCCCTGGGGAATTTTTTTTCAATAATTTTTTTAAATTTGAACGTGTAGTAGGGTATTTGGCGGAGGGGGATTATTGTTTCAACCCATCCGTGGCATGGGAGGGGGGGAGAGAATTATTCAAGGGAGGGGAATTAATCGAGTAAATACGGTATGTGGACCTGTGTATCAGGGCTGGGCTTATTTCGCACTTTCGCGTTTCGCATCTTTCGCATTTTTTGGCGCGAAAAGTTTCGTATTTCGCTTTTTATTTTGCGATTTTTCTTAACAAATTTCGCAATTTCGCGTTTCGCATTCTCGCATTTTTTAGCGCGAAAAGTTTCGCATTTCGCTTTTTATTTTTTCATTACGCCCAGCCCTGCTGTGTATGTAACTGAGATAAAGAAAGAGAGGAAAGAGGAAAATCAGAAATTAAAATAAAATCAGAATTTTTAGATAGAAGAATCAGAAATTTAGACAATTTACCTATAACAACATTGTTCTTCAGCAGAAATTATCCCAATATGTTTCTGTTGGGAAAACACTTTAAAAAAATAAAATATATTTTAAAATTTCTTCAAATTTCTTACAATTTCCCTGCAAAAATTCCCCCTCGTCCATACTATCTGCTACAAAAATATCATCCTCAGACTCAGCCAATTCGCTACTAATTGAACTTTTGTCATCATCTGCTGAATTTTGAGCCAAACAAGTGAGGGCAAAAAAGGGAATAAAACTTCTAAAAAATCCTTTTTTTTAATTCACAAAGAAATCAACTAAACTCTTCATGTGAATCTAACAAACTTTCAAACGAATTTCGAATTGATACATTACTGGGAGAGGTGGAAGTGGAGGTTGAGGGGGAATTGGAATTGGCTGAAGGAAATTCTGTTAAAGTTGGGTTCTGAAAAATTAATAAGAATAAATTTAAAAATTTAGATAAAATTCAAAATCTAACCAAACGCCTCCATTCACGAAAACGTTGAAGGGCGTTGCACATGCGATTATCTGATTTTTAATTTAATTTTTTGTGTTCCCTTATTTTAATTTAATTCTGGTTTTTGTTTTTATTAAATTCTGGTTTTTGTTTTAAATTAATTCTGATTTTTTCCGTTTATTTCTTTTTTGTTAATTCCGATTTTTAAAATTAATTCTGGTTTGTTTCAATTTAATTCTGATATTGGTACTCTGCGTTTATATACCACCATGTCCGCAAACGTATGTCCGCACTTATTTTCTTTTCCTTCTTTCTCCTCTCATAAAGATTAGAAATGGTAAGTAAAAACAAAGGACAAATATTCGTTTATATAAAAATATAAAAGCAAAAATAAGACAATTTTAGAAATTACTTCGGAGGCCATATTTCTGCTATTTTTTTACAAATCCATTCGATCCTGTCCGAAATCCTGCTTTTTTTCAGTTTTCAGGATTATCTATAGTATTTGATGTTCTTAATATTTATGATAAAATTCTTCTTGACCATTTTAATCTTTATGATAGGAGAAAGAAGAAGAAAAAGAAAATCATGGTTTATTAATACTTACCATTTCTAATCTTTATGAGAGGAGAAAGAAGGAAAAGAAAATAAGTGCGGACATACGTTTGCGGACATGGTGGTATATAAACGCAGAGTACCCTGATATTTGTTTTTAATTAATTCTGATTTTTGCTTTTAATTAATTCTGTTTTCTTTTCCGTTCATTTTTTTGTTAATTCTGATTTTTTAAATTAATTCTGATTTGTTTCAATTTAATTCTGATTTTTGCTTATAATTAATTGTTTTCTATCTCCGTTAATTTAATTTTGAATTTTTAAGCTTTCCAGTCAAACTCACTTAAATGAGACTGCAATAGTTGAATCTGTTCTTCATACTCTCCAGGCAAAGTTTGTTTAATTGCATCTGTGAGAGGCTTTGACCAATGTTGGAACTTTTTTCAAAATTAATTTAAAATTAAAAGAGAACACAAATACCCAAAGCCATTTTCGACAAAATTTAATAGCCTCTTTCAACATACTCATTGGAGGGATTTGCCCGTGAGTCGCCTGGAATGAAATTATTTTCAATTTATAAAGACAATAAATTCCTTAAAACTAGTTTACCTGGTGTCTAAGGTTAACAATCCAATTTGGAATATCCATCTGGAAGAAAAAAATATGAAATAGGATAGGTGTCTTTTAATCGTGCTAAAAAAGTCCGCAACTTTTATCCGCAAGTCAAAAGTATATCCGGAACAAGATTATTACTTACCAACAAAGGAAATTTTTGTCGGTTAGGTTCCGGATATCTGAAAATTTTCCAAAAACCGACAACCTTAAATAAGCAAATATATTCGTTGGTACGGATAAAAAGCTGCAGACTTTACCAGTAAATATATTAATTTATTTAATACACTCATATAATAAAAAAATTTTTCATTATATCCAAGTACCTTTCCAACTGCATTTCTTATGCTAATTTTATGTAATACTGGTTGACAAACTTCGTTTACATAATTTACAAATCTGAAAATTATTTATGAGGAAAATAAAGTAAAAATTGATTTTTAAACATTTTTTGTCTTTTACTGCTTAGAATATTTTTTAACCCTAAATCTTAAAAATATTTGGAAAAAAAAGTCGGTCCCAAAATAAATTACACCCGCCCTCAATTAAAGATGTGTTTTTTAAGAATAGAATGGATGAAACTAGATGGGAAGAAGCTTAAGCAATCTCCTAATTTAAGACACACCTCATTGCAAGTAAGGTTGCCAAAATGGCCCGACTCGGACCGAAAGATCGAGTCGGGCCTAGGATATTTGGCCCGAAAAAGACTCGTACCGGCCCGACTCGATAAAGATGAGGCCCGAAAAAAATGACTCGGCCGTCGGCCCGACCTGAAAACGGTAACCCTAATTACAAGTACAATTTTTAACCCAAGGCCTATAATGAGGTTATCCCATTGTATTCTTAAAAGAATAAAATTTTAAATCATTTTTTTCCATCAAAATTTTTTTCCATAATTTTTTTATATTTATTTATTTACATTCCTTATTTTCAAGAAAAAATAAGCGCATTTAACAACATCTTCCTCAAAAAAGGGGGTGACTTTATCGTCATAGGTGGCAAAAAAATAACAAGTAAAAAAAAGGGAAAAAATTTACCGACAAAGTGGGCCAATCAAATTATTATTATGAGTTTGTGCAGAAGAGGAGACATAAAATGGGGAATAATAGGAGACAAATAAGGAGAAAAAAGTAAAACTTTAGTATAGTAAAATAACGGGAAAATTTCTCAATCCGAGAAGAAAAACTATAGCTGTTTTTCTTGTCTCAAATGATTTTTGCCTGAATAGTTTTTATCTCGAGTTAAAAAGATGGTTTGGTTCGGTTCCGAAATGACAACTGTTTCAATTAGAGTTGAACAAAATCGGTTAACCGACCGGTTAATCTTTCCCTGTGGCGACGCGTATGCTTCTATCCCTTCTATTTGACACGCTACAAGGAAAAATTAACCGATCGGTTAAACGGTCTTGTGCAACTATAGTTCCAATAACAATATCAAGAAAATTAACTAAGATAAAAACAGAGCAGTAATTTTAAGGTTCTGAATAAGCTAGATTAACCAATAGGTGTAAGATATATCAAGAATATTTGAAATAAGGGGAAAGGGAGAGGAAAGAGAGATTTGAAATGGCAGGAATTATTTAAAAAATTAAATGAAATACAAAACTAAAGCTCGATATACTTGGACCAAAGATAATGAACAGGGATTGAGAACATCATAAAATATCAGGTTCAACTCGAGAAATACATTACTAGCTTATCTATCCACCTATATCCCCTTTCAACATTCCCTCTCCCAGCAAAATTTCCAAACACTTGTTTTCTCCCAATTTCTTTTTCTGAGTCACAACCTTTCCCCTATCCTTCCATTTACCCATCCCTTTTACCCCGTTAAGCCCCACTTGTGTGCTCGTTTCCGTCCTCATTCATTCATATTACCCTCTTTAAGTAACTCAATTCCCTTACAGGTCCTCATGCAATTTTTTCACATAGTTGGCATCCAAAAAAGTCTTTTAAAATAATATTTTAAAAGTGATTATTTAAAAGCAAAATCATGACAATCACGTAATCTTCTTTATTATTTTTTTATTTTTTCGAAGGGTGTTAAAAATTGTTAAAAACCCAAAAATCAAAAAAAAAATAGGGAAGGGAAAGTTAGAATTTTAATAGAAAAGTGTTTGAGTTAAGGACAAAAATATTAATTATATAAATTGGGTTTTAAATTACCGTATTTCTTCAAATAGAGCCCCACCCTCTATTACAGCCCCACCTTGGAGGATAGTTGAAAAATAGAGCCCCATGGGGCTGTATTTGAAGAAATACGGTAAATATACTTCTCTACTTGGTTGGTAAAGAATCTTTAGAATTAAGAACTTCAAGACCAAAGAATGAAATTAAAAAGTTAAGAGAAACTTTATCTTGGTAAAAAACCAAAATAAAGTTAAATACAGTTGAATCACTCTATAAACCCCCCCCCCTCCTCCACTCAACTAAATGGCCAACCAAATAGCGGTATAATTTTGTTTCATATTTTGTTAAAACCAAAAAAATTTTCAATTAAAATAAACAAATTGATTAAAAAAATTTTATAGAAGAACAAATTGCATTTTCGGTTAAAACGAAAATAAATTTTTAAATGTTTTAAAAAAGCATACAATTTATTTTCTATTTCATTTCTCCCAATTTTAAGTGCCTTTCCCTTCCCTTATCCCTCTCTCTCCCATACTTTGTTCATTTTAAAACCCCAAAATTTTCAAGGTTTAGCACACAATTTTACTCATCTTTTTCACATTTTTGTGGACCACTAACTACCTCACCCGTCCCTTTTTTTAAACAAAACAGTTCATTTAAAACGTCCACTCAGGTCAAGTCGATAAAAAGATGACTAAGAGATGACTAAGAGGTTGCTTTTAAATGGACAAAATTTGGGATTGAAAATTAAAATAAATAAAATGCCGAAAAGGCCAAAAATCCACAATGGTTTTAAAAAGCGCTATACTGAAACAATCAGCCTCACTATAAGATAACCTTATATGTATTAGATACCTTAATTTAAGGCACACTTTTAAAAAAATGTGGGCGGGACAAGGATGTTGCGGATTAACCGAAATCAATCTAAACCCCGCACAATTTTTTTACCCGAAATCCGATTCGAGAAACGTCCTACCCGACTTTCTTCTCCGCCCGTAACATCCCTAGTGTGGTTTGGATTACGGTTGCCGGATCCGGATATCCGAAGATTTCCAACTATCCGTCAACCTTAGTATGGAAGCTAGGCGAAACCTCCTATAAAAATTAAATTTTTATAGAGGCTAAAAATGTATTATAATGTATTTATCTGCATAATTAATTTTTTAATCTTAATGGATAGGCTACCAAATATAAAAGGTAAAATAAATTAAACTTCAAAAAAACATTTAAAATAAATTTAAAGCAATAAGTTGCTATGATTGCCGTTCGGAAGACATATCATGCAATGTGGGTGAATGTATGGGTGCTACTTGTGTAAAAATGGAGACGTCAAATACTGATAATGGTTAGTACTGGAGGTGGGCGAAAAGCCATTTTCAGACATTTTTTCATATGATTTCCGAAAATTTTCTGATTTCAGTTACTATTTGGGAAAGCTCCGATTTCTGAAACCTTCGGCTGTTCGACCCACCTCTGGTTATTAAGGAAATAGAAATTAGGGAAGAGTAGAAAAGCTCCGATTTATAACACAGGCTGATCTTACCCACCTCTGGCTACCCACCTAAGGATTCATTGAATTCTTAGAATAAAGGGGATTGAAAAGCACTGAACTCGTTTCCAATAGAAATCTGTCTTCAATAACTAAACGACCTTTTCTAAATAGATATTCACCCATTCCGATCCTAGCGAAGTCTAAATAGAGCCCAGGGTTAGCATTAACGAAAAAACTGTTAATAACAATATTGAAAGTAATTAAAAGTCTTAATGAACGTTTAATTTTTTGGGAAATTCTCCAACAAAAAATTTATTTTAGAAAGAAAAACTGTCTCAAAAGCCTGTAGCAACGATTACGAAGACAATCATTGCAGACAAACTTATTTGGGGCCAAGAATTGTTATAAGATGTACTTGTGACAGTAATTTTTGTAATGGAGATAAAAATTTAGCGGCAGCAGGATTATATCTATTAGCAATGGATGGGGATGGAGGAAATAAAGTTTATTCAAAAACTATTTTAATAACTTTTATTTTGTTTATTTTTTGTTTATGGAGGAGATGAGATTTTTAATAAAAGTGAATAAAATAATTTTTAAAGAATTTTCTAGACAGATATAGAAAAAGATATGGTGTCCCATTATTATAACGATTCTTGGGGATTTTCCAACAGATTAAGCTAAAAACAAAGTTTGGGGCATTCTAACCATGAGTTGAATGAAATATGATATTGAAGGCCGGGATCATTCTGAAACCACGTGAAGAAATCAGGATGAAATATAGGGAAAGACAGCTCTTCCAATTATAGGGAAGAGCTCACCTTATATTCCCCCATTCTGACCCCAGATAGGTTCCTTATGAGTACAACATGCACCACTCTGCTCATATCAACTGGAAAACAAGGCACTAGGAAACGGGAACAACCGCTTAAATTTTGAAGAAAACTTGAAGCCTTATCTACTTACAATTAATAGAACGGGGAAATTGGCTGAGTTTAAGACTAATCTTAAAGACTTTCGGTCAAATAGAGAAAAGAAATATACTTAATAGCAATTTTTTAATAGGTATAACGAAAATTAATAGAAAGACAAAATTTTCTCAAAATTAAAAACCTTAGTATACTCTCATCCATTATTTTAATCAAAAAATTAAAAAAAACTCCCCACCTTATAATAACCGAACAAAGAATTAACCCAACATCCGCATTATCTAAACCAACACTTCCTTTAGCGCCATGACGTTTCTGATCAAGCACAAGTGCTCTAAGGACTAATTCAGAAATGCTGATAAAAACGGGAGTATCATGCCACATTCTGCAAAATAAAAAAAAGATAACCATAAATGGAAATTAAATTAAAAAATAATTTTCGGGAACTTTTAGAAAATATTGAGAGAATAAAGAGAAAGCACATTTTTAGGCCAGAAATTAATCCAACCGTTGCCGCCAACATTAAGGCAGTGCTTTTGGCTTATTAACAGTTCTCACTGTTAATGTAATAATTTGAAAATAAATAGAAGTAGAGAAGAAAATTATAAAAAGGGGAGCTTTCAAAAATTACCTACTTCAAAGAAATCAACAGACAAATTAACCCAAGGAATAATCCAAAATTACCTATATTCATTCACACCCAACTCGATAGGATACAAGATGGGATTGTGTAAAAAGAGGAATTGTAAGGGATACAGTTACGCTACAAAAACAATCGATCCAACTCTGAATCCGAAAAATCAAAATCTTATTCTGATTAAGAAAGAAGTTATAGGACATGTACGGGCTTGTAACCAGGATTTTTTTCGTGGGGGGGGGGGCAAGAGGGAAAATTTTTCTTCACTAAAAATTCACTTTCTCAGCGCCGCAGCGAAAATTTTTTGAAAAATGGACCGTCATAGGAAATTTCACTTTTTTGCTCAATCCCTTCCCCAAATTTTTTTCTTTCCCCATTTTGGGTGCGGGGGAATCCCCCTCCTAGTTACGGACCTGGGTATGCCCAATATCAATCTTAATCGAAAAATTCGAGAATGGAGATGAATGAATACAAAAAAGAACAAATGGTACTACTCCGTTTATCCCTACGTGTTTTTGCGGACTTTTTCTACTGACATTTTCTTCCTTCCTGAATTCCACGAGAAAGTCTGACCATTACGTAAAATTTGGGATATGAAAAATGTCCGCAAAAATACGCAGGGATAACGGGGTAGCGAACAAATTTTTGAGTTTTGCTTACTTAAAGCTAATTACCCAAGGAAAGAAAAATTTAAAAAAAGAAATACCTATCCAGCCACATATTCATAATATTTGTCAACTCCCTCAAAGTGTGCTGATCTTCATTCATAAACTTTCGTTGAACATACTTCCATTCTACCCTAAATATTTTTAAAATTAATTTTTGTTTAATCAAAAAATTAAAAAAATACTCTGTAAAAGGAATTAATTTTTTAGTTCCATCACAAGAAAAGGACGATCTTCTTCGTCTTTTTGAAGCTTCTTTCTTTTTAGGAGGAGGTAGAAGAGAAGGAAGAGAAAGTGAAGAATTTGGAAGTAGATGAATTGGTGGGGGAGGAATGGGGAATGATGAAAGAGAAGAAGGTATTTGGACTGGAAATGATGAAAATCCAATCCTTTTGTGTTGCATTTTTTAATTAAATTAACTGAAAAAAATTGAAGAAAAATAAATTTTAAAAATAAGAAAGAAACGAAATTTTTTTTTCAAGAATTTTTAAAAATGAGTCAAATGACATTTGGTTAATTAAAACATTTTTAAAATTTATTCAAAAGTTTTTGTAATAATGGAAAGGATTGTTCGCCATTTTTTGGTTTTTGTTAAAATATAGACGATAGAATATTGGTAACGAAATGTCCATATTGTTAGCCCAAAACGGCGCGGGCCAAACGTAGCGAGCGAAACGGCGCGACGGAACGTCGCAGACCGAAATGACGCAAACTGTCAGAACAACGTCCCACGTCATCAGAACTAGAGCCCGGGACGGGACCCCGGGTTTTTAGCGACAAACAGGATTTACGGGATTAATCCCGCAGGATCCCGTCCCGGCCGAATTTTGAAAACCCAATCCCGTTCCGGGAGGGTACAGCCCGACTTGTCGCCAAGCTTTTTAATTAAATATTCTGATTTATAATTAATTAGAATAGTCCCAACGACCATCAAATGGGACCATTAAATTCCTATAATCAAAAGTAGCAGACATTCTTGGCGGTTACAGATTTTCAGATCTTCAAGTTATTATCTATACCCGTAAATCCTTTAAAAATTGTCTAAAAGTCAAAGGAATTCTATTGAGATAAACCCTCGTTTTGAAATAATTTAAGCAATAAATTCTTTATTATTTAATATTATTGACAAGAAAAAATAATGATTATTAAGGCTTGCACATTTTAAACAAAAAACAGTAATTTGGAATGTTATATGTATAAACTAGATCGAAAATAATATTTTAAAATTCAAATGAAGAAGGGAATTTTATGTCAAAAATAGTTGCAGGCGGAGCTTGTTGTCCAAACATCCGAATTCGTGTTTTCTAAAAAGAGTTTTTACTTAGTATAAAATATTTTATTTTTCATACTTCATCATGTCTAAGTGTTAACCGCTGCAATGTTTGTGCTAATGTTTCTTGACTTTCACCATTTCCATGTGGGCAAGGAGGGCCTGTAGAAGAGCAAGAACAATGGCGTTGATGATGTCTAAATAGTTCAGAAAGTTGCTGTTGATTTTTGTCTCTAAACATTTTTAACACTTCTCGACTCTTTTCCTAAAAAATAGATTCATACTTTTTAAATTAAAAAAATGCTCCCATGCCTGGTCACGTCTTTCCTCTTCAGCAACATTCAGAGGAGTATTGGCAAGAATTCGAAGTTGTTCAACAGTAATAGGAAGATTGAGGTTTTCTAAAAAAAACTCAAAAATCAGTAAAAATTTCTAAAAAAACATTACTTTGTCCACTAAGAACTGTATTCCTTCTGCTATGTATTGCTGTATCAGGTGGACTCCAATCCACACTACTACTTCCTACAGAAACAGTATCAATACTATTCTGTTGACTTAAAGTCTTCTTTGTTTCATCCATTTCCTTCAAGTTAGAGCAAAAATCATTTTGACTGTGATCACAAATATCTCCGTTTATTTCTATTGCACTTTTATTTCGATCTAATGGAGATGAAAACATTAAACCGCCTGAAGTCGATGTTGTACTTTTACTTTTATCAGTAGTTGGCTGCAAAAATGCAAAATAAATTTTGAAGGATTTATACCAAACCAAATCAAGTGCAGCAAGTTGAGTACCAGAAGAACCTCTTTTTTGTGTCGATTTCTGACCTGTCGCAATAGATGAGACCTCAAAAGATGTAAACAGTGATTTTGAGACGTTTATAGGTGTGAAAGGCTAGAAAATTTAGTTTAACAAATTCACGAGATATTTCACAAAAAACCTGTAAAAGTCGTTGAGATTCTTTATTTGATTCTTTTATTGCTTCATAAGCTGTTTCAGCACAAAATAACAATTCCGGGTCATTTTCAGTCGGCAACCCATTCATTTTTCCACTATTAGATTCAAAAACTCTCTGATTCCTTGAAGTGCTTGCTTTTGATCCAGGCACAGAAGGCAAAAAATCTTCTTCAGAATCCATGTGAGCAATTGGAGCTTTTCCTGGAGGTGGAGAAAAAGCAGCTCCATTTTCGACTTCTTCAGAAATTGGTTGATCCTGTTTTTCATCAGCCAATTTAATTTCAACGTTTTTAACAATAGATTTTGGTTTGTCAGTATTATTTATATTAAGAAGAGGATGAGCACGTTGAGCTCGAAGATTGATTACCTTAATTTGAATTTTCCGCCATTTCAAAACAAAATCTATTTTATGAGAAAAATTGAAATAAAAATTGTAATTTTTTATTAAATACTAAACCTGCTGAACGTGTTGACAAAGAGCCGGGATTGAAGCGAGTTGTGAGCTTAAAGACATATATCTAGATACCAAATTGTGTATGTTGATTGCTTTTTCCTCACATAATTGCTCATCTAACGCATATTGTTGTAATGCAAAAGCTAGACGAAAAAGTTCAACTTGAGTTTCATCGTTTCCAACTTCAACTAAAATTAAAGCCAATGAACAAAGAAAAGCAAAATATTGTTTTTCAATAGAAACAGAATTTTCAGGTTCTGCAATAACAACACTTCTAAATATTATAAATAAACAAAAAATGATGTAAAAAATTTAAAAACCTATACAAAGTAGAAACAATAACATGAATATTCCTTCGCATAAAAAGAGAATCTTGACGAGAACATTTTTCAACAATTAAAGGTAAATCTTCCATTCGCATTTCTGGCAGAATTAAAAGTAAATGTTCAAGTTTCTGTTGATTATCATGTCGATCTAATAATGTTTGGAATATTTGATGGGCAATTAATCTGACTTCCGCATCTCTAGTTAATTGCAATTGGAGTAAAGTCCTGAGAAACGCATCGGTGAAAACTGTGGCCAAATAGAACTAAAATACAATTAAATGACAAAAACGCGCTAATTTTATAAAAAACGTTTCAGTTAAAAAATTTACGGTAGAAATAAACGGAGATATTTGTGTGTGTGTTTTTTTGTTTATTTATAGGGCGGGGGATCATTGTGTAGCGGCCGTTTGTGTACCTGGCCATATTTTGGGCCATAACTTTTTCAATTCTTAATTGATTTAAATAAATATATCAATTGAAAGTCCTGGATGTGAGGATTATTTTCGCCAACAGAACTGATTTGATCAGATCATCATACAAAAAGTTACAGACAGATAAAGATCAAAATCACGATTGAGCGCATTTATCGAGATATAACTTTTTATAACATGATCTGATCAAATCAATCCTGTCGGCGAAAATAATCCTCACATCCAGGGCTTTCAATTGATATAATAATAATTTAAGTCGGTTAAGAATCAAAAAAGTTATGGCCCAAAATATGGCCAGGTACACAAACGGCCGGTACACAAGTGGGACGTTCCTTTATTTATAATATTTGAAGTCGTAACTTTAAAGAACTGCACGAGTATATAAAAATAGAATTTTTAAAAATTTACGCATATTCCATAAATTTTTTTTTATTTGAACGTCCTGATACAAAAAAATTACCGTTTTGTACTTTGTTGCCACCTCCAACAAGGTTTTTACAAGAACTTTTTGCAGAAATGCCTCGCACATCCGTTCCGTTTTAAGATTTACTAAAAAACAAGAAAATTGTCCAGTAAAATAAAATTTAAAAAACCCGTGCTTTCAACATTTGGAATACTTCCAGCAGTAAACATCATAATTTCAACTTTTTGATAATCAGGTAACGCACTTGCAAAATCACCTAGAGCATTGATTAAAGTGTTTTGAAATAACTTTTCCTTTTCCAAATCAACACATTGCTTTGACTGTTGGAATTCAACAGAAGAACGGAGCAATTTTAACAATGAATTAAAAATAGCTAAAAGAAGAGGGCCAATACTCGTTCCAGCAATGCTGACAATATTTGCCAAAACTGTAGCCATTCCAACACGAACATTAGATTCCCCATTTTGAACTTGTTCAAGCTGATTAATAAGTTCCTTTAAGAAATATCTTGGTAATAGTTAAGTTTGTGTTTCCCCTTTTTTCTTTCGGCTGTAGTGTAGTGTACCGAGGTAAAAGTTTGGGAGGTGGCATATCTCATTCAATTAGTCTCGACGAGCTGAGTCGAACGGTACCACTCCCAATTTTAGGAAATGATTAAAGACCGTGTTATATATACCAAAATCGACCTTACTCCCCCTATGGTTTTTCAATATTTCGGGACCTATAACTCGGTCCAGAATCATTTCCTGAAATTGTGAGTGGTGCCGTTCGACTCAGCTTGCCGAGACGAATCGAATGAGATATGTCACGTCCCGAACTTTTACCTCGGAACACTACACCACAGCCGAAAGAAAAAAAGAAACACAAACTTAACTATTACCAATATCTTAAACAAGAGTAAAAAATCAAAAATAACCTGTATAACAAAATAAGAATTCTGTGATTGAATGCTGTACAGAATAGCCTTGAAAGTTTTAATAGCAAAAGTTGGCGGAGGATCCCATTTATTGTGTAAATCAAAATGTCTAAAGACGGGTTCAAGTACAGATCTGAATTTTTTAATAAAAAAAATTTTTGTAAATATAATAAACTTGAGAGATCCAAAACTACATTTTTGGAAAAGTTCTCGAAGACATTGAAGCGCTAAATTTCTTGGTTCGGCTTCAGCAATAGATCCATTTTGTTCTTCAGGATGAAATAGCATTGCGGTAGTATGATCAACACGTTGGTCATCAACTTCGTCTTAAGTTTGAATAAATTAGTCAAAAACGGTAATACTGAAGCATACAGACCCGATTTTTTCCTCCCCAATTTTCCCCCTATATTTTTAAAAAATGGTCAGACTTTTTCCTTCCTTCCATGCAATTTGCCTTTCTAATTTTTGCCTACAATCAAAAAAAGGATTATTTTTGGTATTTGACAAGTATAAGTTTTTGAGAAGACTCATTTTCTCTATTAAAACAGTAAATAAAATATCAAAAATAATCCTTTTTGTTTGATTGTAGGCAAAAATTAGAAAGGCAAATTGGATGGAAGGAAGGAAAAAGTCTGACCATTTTGTAAAAATAATGAGGAAAAAAGTGGGTCTGTATGCTTCAGTATTACCTCAAAAACTAACCATTTTCATCCTGGAAATTAAAAAGAATTGAAGGAATAATTTTGTTCATGTGTTGTTTCTCCCAAATGTTAGCTTGTAAATCATCACTTGCAGATTTCCAAATAACACCTAATATCGAAAAATGTTAATAGAAATTGACAAAAATAATTTTAGACCTCTAAGACCTCGAAGCCCATTAAATCGTTGTGAGCGCACATAATCACCTCGATTCGCATGACACATTGAAGAAAATTTTGAAATAAAAAAATCATATTGGCGATGATAAGAAGGTGAATCCTCCTCAATTCCAGAAAATCTAACAAATAAATCAGTGGCTAATTTTTCCATTTGAGGGTCATTTGTTTCCAGAAGTCGTTGAACCATTAAAAGAAAGCTTTCAATAAATTGATTAATTGAAGGAGAACCATGACAACTTTTTAATAATTGATCAATTGCATCAACGGCAACCTTGAATTAAAAATTAAAGGTAATAGTTAAGATTGTGTTTCCCCTTTTTTTCCTTTTGGCTGTGGTGTAGTGTACCGAGGTATAAGTTCGGGACATGACATGTCATTCGATTCGTCTCGACGGTAATCATGAAGAATCTGGGATCCACTTTTAAAAACCTTAAAAATCATTATTTTTTTCTGAAAATCATTTTATATAGGTAATCGACCATGCTGATCTCGAATCCGATAACAGATTTTGTCAAATATGACATTTTATCTATGATTTTTTTATCACTACTTGATTTTCAGCAAGATTCTGTTGTTTATAACTTTGTTCAGAGTTATTCAATCGAGCTCATTTTGATGTCATTCGACTCAGCTAGACAAGCTCTTTCGAATGAGGGGTCATTTGTATAATCGAATTTTTTGACCCCAAAAATTTCAAATTTCGGGGGTCTGTAACTCGGCAAAATGAAGTCGGATTTCGTTAATTTTGGTGTCGTTCGACTCATCTCGAGGAGCTCTTTCGAATGAGCCATAATTTGCATAATCGGATTATTTACCCCAAAATCGACCTAACTTCCCCCTATGGTTTTTCGATTTTCAGGGGCCTATATCTCTGCGAGTTTTCGTCCCCGGAAAAAATTTTTTGCATATTTGAACTCAGCATAGTCGATTACCTATATAAAATGATTTTCAGAAAAAAATAATGATTTTTAAGGTTTTTAAAAGTGGATCCCAGATTCTTCATGATTACCGTCTCGACGAGCTGAGTCGAACGGTACCATTCCCAATTTCAGAAAATGATTCTGAACCGAGTTATAGGTCCCGAAATATTGAAAAACCATAGGGGTAGTAAGATCGGTTTAGGTATAGTATAACTCGGTCCAGAATCATTTCCTGAAATTGGGAGTGGTGCCGTTGACTCAGCTCGTCGAGACGAATCGAATGTCATGCCACGTCCCGAACTTGGGTATTGTGACTTATAGTGGGTTTTTTTTGGCTGGACCGATTTCGACAAATGTGGTGTCATTCGAAAGAGCTTCGAAAACTGAGTCGAACTAGATATGGGGGAAGTCGGTCCGACAATCAGGGACCGAGTTACAGACCCTGAAGTTTGAAAAAGAGAAGGGGGGAGTAAGCTCAAATTGGGTTGAAAAATTCGAAAATGCAAATAATAGCTATTCGACTCCTCTCGATGAGCCGAGTCGAATGACACCAAAATCACCGAAATCCGACTTGATTGGACAAAGTTATGATTGTTTGTTTGGTACTACTGAAGAAAAGGGTGCTTTTTCTGCGGACTTATTTTGCGGACTTTTCCTTTCCTTTACATGTTTTACTTGTAGCAACTAACTGTCAACGGCCCTCCCCCCATTATTTTTCTTACCTAAGATTGTACACAATGGTCAGATTTTCTTCTTTCTCTTTTCCTCTATTTGCCGTGTGGCATATTCAAACAAAAGACATTGATACAGAGAAGATGAATTTTATTTTTTTCATTTCTGTTTAAATGTTTTGCTTATAGCAACTAACAGTCAACGGATTATTTTTTATGCCGGTCTGAAAAATGTCGTTCACAAATAATTTAAACATTATAAACGAAAAAAATGTTACAATCAATAAAAAATTTTACTTTAACTAAATTGTATGATAAAATTAAATTACCCAATGATGAATTTCAACAATGGATCACTGATCTCGGAATGCTTCATAGAAAAAGAACATGTAATTGTGGAAAAGAAATGCGTAAAGAAAAGCGTGGACAAAATGGAAGATGGATATGTAAGAAATCAGTATGCAGTATCCTATGGCAAAAATTGAAAAGACGACATAAAACTGAATTTGGTACTGTTGAAACAACGTTTGAAAGTTATATGAATGAGTTTGTATGGAAACAGAAATTTGGAGGAGATGACTGTTTTTTTCATTTAATTTCACAAATAACAAATAATCAAAAATATTTGTGCGAATAAAAATTAATCCTTTGACAGTTAGTTTGCTACAAGCTAAAACATTATCTTTTAAAAAAAAGGGAAAAAGAAGGAAAGGAAAAGTCCGCAAAATAAGTCCGCAGAAAAAGCACCCTTTTCTTCAGTAGTACCGTTTGTTTTAGCTCCTTACCTATGGTCTATGTGGAGGTTTTTGCTGCTACGGAGGCCCCAAGTACGTCCAGAACAAGGAAGATAGGAATAGGTTTATGTTACTGACCCAGACCCAGCGACCGTAGACTCCCCGCGAGGCGCGTGCCGCAAAACCCCGCGCGAAGCGCGGGGTTTTGCACAAGCGCCTCGCCTACGCCCCATAGGTTTATGTTGACCATTTTGAACCTGTTTATCTTGGCTCAAAATCAAGATATCGAGCTGATTTTGGTGTCATTCGACTCAGCTCATCGAGAGGAGTCGAATAGCTATTATTTGCATTTTCGAATTTTTCAACCCAATTTGAGCTTACTCCCCCCTTCTCTTTTTCAAACTTCAGGGGTCTGTAACTCGGTCCCTGATTGTCGGACCAACTTCCCCCATATCTAGTTCGACTCAGTTTTCGAAGCTCTTTCGAATGACACCACATTTGTCAAAATCGGTCCAGCCAAAAAAAAACCCACTATAAGTCACAACATTCCCGAACTTTTATTTGGTACACTACAGCCGAAAGAAAGAAGGGGAAACACAAACTTAACTATTACCAAAATTAAATTTAAAAATATTTATAATCAACCTTAACATCAGCAACTTTTTGTCGACCAAGATCTCGTGAAAGTCTTTGAACAAGATAAATACCAATTCGATTTAACTTTTCAGGATGAAATATCGAATAGAATGTTAATTTTTGCATATTTCCACTAACTGGCACATCATATGGAGGCATTCGAGGATAAATATGGTCAACAACTCTTTTATATCGAGGTTTGCAAGACGAACAACAACAAAAATGATTCATCTCAAGAAAAAGAAAAGAGCATTAACAATAAAATGTAATAAAGTAATCCAGTTTCATACTCTAAAGTCTAAGACTCAATTAGAAGATTTTTAAAACGGTGGGGACGATTCAGCGCCCACGATTCAGCGCCAGCACGTTTCAGCGCCAGTTATTAAAAATTAGTGCCCGGCGCCGGACCGGATTTTTCCGGAGTTCGGGTCCGCGCTGAATCGTGTCTAACTGTCCCGTTCCAGGATCCCCGGGATGCGATTTTGCCGACCTCTAATCAGAACAAACTCCCCTCCCCTTTCAGTTTTGGGTTTGCGCCGTTTCGTTTGCAACGTTTTGGTCCGCGACGTATTGGGTGTGTCACTAATATCACGAGAATTTTAATTTTTTTATCAATTCTGTATTCTTTTTTGCTTTAATCGGTTTAGAATTGTAGCTATTTACACAAATTTATTTTCGCTTCTTTTGTACTTCTTTCATTGTGGCTCAATCAAATAAACGAACTAAATCGAATCGTGGTGATACCAACGAAAGAGGTGAATTAGAAGAAGAATCTGAACGATTAGCTGAACAGTTGAAACATAAAGTGAATATGAGCAGATACACGAAGGATAAAAAAGAAAAGGTTTTCTTTAATTTTTAAAGTGGTATTGTGACTTATAGCGGGTTTTTTTTTGTTTCTGAACGATTTCGACAATTGAGGTGTCATTCGAAAGAGCTTCGAAAACTGAGTCGAACTAGATACGGGGGAAGTCGATCCGACAGTTGAAAGTTTGAAAAAGAGAAGGGAAACCATTAGCTAAATAAATTAACAAACCATGTGTCTAGTTCGATTCAGTTTACGAAGCTTTTTCGAATGACACCTCATTTGTCGAAATCGGTTCAGAAACAAAAAACCCGCTATAAGTCACAACATTCTTTTAAAGTTTTATAAAAGAGAAATTTTGGTAATATTGAATCTGGCAGACCCCATTTTTCCTCCCCAATTTTCCCCCTATATTTTTACAAAATGGTCAGACTTTTTCCTTTTTTCCATCCAAATTTCCTTTCAAATTTTTGCCTACAATCAAATGAAAATGATTTTTTAATTTTATACAAGCTTTCCAAAAACAAGTAAAAGGAGGATTATTTTTTGGTATTAACAACTAGGAGTTTTGAGAAGATCATTTTCTCAATTAAAAAATGAAACAATTTAGGAAGAAAGTAAAAGTTTGACCATTTTGCAGAAATATAGGGGAAAAATTGAGGAAGAGAAAAGGGGTCTGTCCGGTTTAAAATTTAGACATTGGAGTATTTTTATTAAAAAAATATGGAAAAAATTGAAATTCTTTCTAAAAATATATTTTTGAATATTTGCTATCCTAAAATTAAACATTCTTTTTGTTTATTTTCAAAATTCTAACTTTAGAAAATATTTCTCATAGGCCATTTCTTAATTTTTTACCGTTCAATTAAATGATCGGGTCATTTTCCATAATAAATGGAGACCTTTCTAGGTGTTTAATTAATTTTCTGGTTTTTCCCAGTTTTTCTCAATAAACTTACACTCTAGGTTCGCCAGTTTGTTAGTTTTACTCAAACTAGTGAAAGTACAGCAATTCAATGTTTAACAAATGCTAATTGGAATTTGGAAATGGCTTGTGATATTTTCTATCAGAATCCTTCTTATTTCTCTCAGGTTGACAGTTCTGTGGATAATCGACGATTGGATCAATTCTTCCAAAAATACGCTAATGGTTTGTTGAATTTATAAAAATATTTTTTAGAGGATTTGTTTGTTATCTTTAATTGAGATTTAAAAAGTTTTTTGGGGATTGTAAGGAAGAGAAAGGGAGAAAGATCCAGCTGGCTAGCATTTAAAACGCTGTCTGCGGAGGTTTAAGATCTAATAAAAGAGAAGGTGAAAGCACGTCCCGGTAGCTCAGTTGGTAGAGCACCTGTACGTGGTGAGCGAAAGCGCCTAGCAATAACTGCCAGGAGGTCGCAGGATCGAAGCCTGCTCGGGATTAAACTTTTACCTCGCTCTTACTGGATATTCTGTGGTTGCCTTTTATTAGGGTTCGTATCAGTTTGTTTTTTCGATTTTCCCACCAGTCTTGACATTTTTTGTAGCGTGTGTCAGGTTTTCCCTCCGAAAATTTTTATACTATATCTTGTTACTACTCTGTTATCCCTACCTGTTTTTGCGGAACGGAGTAGTACCTACATTTTCAAATAGACAATAAAATGTGAAAAACAATCAAAACCCATATTTTCTTGCCTTCTGCCCAGCTATTTTACTAAACAAAACTCTGTATAAATCGTCAAAAATTCTCAAAATACGATTCGGCCCTTCCCTTTAAATATTAAAAACTTCCAAAATTCAATTTGTTTCTAGATCCAAAGGATTTGGCACAAAAGGTTGAAAATGGTCGAATTGGCCCTCATGGAATGGTCCGATTTTTGCGTGATCTTGGTGTGGATCCAACCAGTCGAATGGCACTGATTTTAGCTTGGAAGTTGAAGGCTGAAAGGCAATGTGAATTTTCTCAACAGGAATTTCGTGATGGAATGAATTCTTTGGGGTTTTTCTTATTTATAAAGTCAAATGTCTCTATAAGATCACTAAAATAAACATCTGTTTAAAATGTAATTTTTTAGTTGGGGGTTTTTATTAAATGGGGAGAGCTGTTTAAACGAATCTCTCTCAAAATTTAAGATCGTCTTCGTTATAACCTTAAATTTTTTTCAATCGGGTACAGCACAAAACAACGCGCGGCCATAACAACGCAAAGACATAACTAGCCGGAAAATTTCCGGTCTTTATCAATTTTGGTACCAAACTCTGTAGCTCGATGAGAGGAATCGTTTAATATTAAATTTGTTAAGATTAAGAAATCTTGAAGCAAGCTATGACTTTGCGTTGTTATGGCCGCGCGTTGTTTTGGGCGTGTCCCCTTTCAGTTCTAAGAGTTTCTTATAGCGACATCTAACTTTATTTCATCTAATTAAATATTTTTTTCTTAAAGTGCTGACAGCTCCGAAAAATTAAAACAATTATTGCCCAATGTCGAAAGAGAATTATTGGAGAATAAAAACCAATTTCGAGAATTATACCAATTTGCCTTCAAATATGTTAAACTTGCAAAACAGTCAAGTATGGAGTTGGATACGGCTATTGAATGCTGGCGAATATGTAAATTTTTTTAATTTTAACATCAAAATACTTTCCAGAAAAGCTTTTCGATTTGCTCCTACAAATATTTTAAAAATTAATTTTTTTAATTTTTAAAGTGCTTGCCAACACAGACACCCGTCTTTCAAGTTGGATTGAGTTTTTGCGATTGAAAAAAGTCCGCGGAATTCCAAAGGATACCTGGAACTTATTTCTTGATTTTCTGACAAATATTGCTGTGGATTTTTCAAATTATGATAGCGAAAGTTGGTTTTTAATAAATTCAAAAATATGTTTTTTTTATATATTTTTAAGTTTGTCGTTATTGAAAGGTGTAGCCAGTGGGCTGAAGCCCCCCCTCCTAAATCGACCCTCTAGATACGCCCTTGGTACATTTTCTGACTTTGTTATAAGATCCCGCAATATTGAAACCAATTTTAATAATTTTAATTTATTTTAAAAAAATAAATTCAGGTGCTTGGCCGGTACTCATTGACGAATTTGTTGAACACGAATTAAAGAAAATTGCAAATAATCAGCCTGCTAACAATAATAATTAGCTAGAGAATATTTGCAATACAAAAACAAAAAATATTTTTTGCTTCAAAATACTTTTTCTACAATTACAAGTAAATATTTTTTGTTTTTCTAAAAAATTATTCAAGCATTTGTTTATATTCCAGGAATTTTGTTGGCTGACGAAAACTTAATTGACAGAAAATCTACACATTTTGTTGTTGTACCCCCTCAAAATCTGCCTGTAAAATATTTTCTCTCTAATGCGAGGGTTATATAAAAATCGCGCGCGTTTTGCGACAGAAAAGATAATGGGAAATGAGGAGGTAAAGTCGCAAGCGATTTTGTCTCTCCTACTTTTCAATGTTATTTTCTGTCGAAAGACAAAAAGCGACTTTTATTTAATCACAGCATAATGACCAGAAAATCTCTTTTTGTTTTTTTGTTTGTCCCCGGTATTACCCAGGCTCAGAAAAATTTTTTACAGGAGATTTTTCTCTTTTAAGCACAATTACTCTCCTCTCATAAATACCCCCTTTTGTCTTTTTTTGGCAATCCCGGAGAATTGGGGTCCCTGCGAAAAAAAAGTTTAAAAATAAGAAATTGGATTTTTCTAGGATAAAAAAATATGCTGATTACGAATCCGAGCTCAGATTTTGAAAAAGTCAAATCCCGAACCCAAACCAAATTTCGAACCCTGAACCCGAATTTCGAATATGCAAATGATAGCTCGTTCGAAAGAGCTCGTCGAGCTGCATCGAATGACACCAAAATTAACGTGATTGGACAAGTTTAGACAAAGTTACGACATAAAGTATACCTATGAGAGTACTGTAGGAGTCGGCGACTTATGTCATAACTTTGTCAAAACTTGATCAATCACTGTAATTTTGGCGTCATTCGATTCATCTCGACGAGCTCTTTCGAATGAGGTATCATTTGTAAAAACTTTTTTTTACTCCAAAAAATCACCCATGTGGTTTTTCAATATTTAGGGGTCTGTATCTCGGTTCAATCCGGTCGGATTTCATTGATTTTGGTGTCATTCGATGCAGCTCGATGAGTTCTATGATTCTATTGAAAGACTGGCCATTTTGTACAATGTCTGATAATGTTAGGGGTCAAAAATCCTGTTCGGGATCAAGAGTACGAATTCGGGTTCGGGATTTGACTTTTTCAAAATCTGAGCTCGGATTCGTAATCAGCATATTTTTTTATCCTAGAAAAATCCAATTTCTTATTTTTAAACTTTTTTTTCGCAGGGACCCCAATTCTCCGGGATTGCCCTTTTTTTTGGATCGATTAAATTTTCGTTATTTTTGATTTCTTATTAAAGAAATTTTTTTGTTTTTGTGTTTTTTTTGGTTATTTAAATACGATTCTATCGTTTTTTATTTTAATTTTTAAAATTAAAAATCCATTTCTTCGATAGATTTGAAAGGTTTAATCTATTTTATAATGGAAAAACGAATGGAAGAATGTTCCGAGGAAATGTATGAAAAATTTAGAAAATTATCCCAAACTGTTTTTATTTAAGAATGACTGAACGCAATGTTTGCGGTGTTCTGTGTACTGACATTAACGGGGCGTTGTTTGTTGCTAAAGGGACTTTGGCATCGCCTGACTGTGCTGGTGTAATTTCTCAGCTGGCGAATAGAGCTGCTTCACAAGAACCGAGTTTACGGGTAGGGGGGGGGGGGTTTGGAGTAAAGAGTAATGACCGGATCCGGAAGGATTTTTCTGGGGTCCGGGTACCAAATGGAAGTTTCTCGTGATCTTTGGATTAAAACCGGACCGAATTAATTCGGAAAAATCCGTCCGGATACGGTCCGGCTCTAGTTACCCACATAAAATTTGTATTGTTTTGATAAGAGGTTAATTTCCAATCGAAAGAAGACTCCCAAAATAATTGTTTTCGGGAACGATTCTCTTACTAAAAGTTGTACTTTGTCGACAATTAAATAATTCCTTATTTTTAATTTCATTTTAGTCGCTAGCCGTTTTATTGTCCGGTCCTTCAAATTCACCTACGGCATCTTCCGCTTCTCTGACTAAAAGTAAATCTGTCGCCAATCAAGGTCCTCTCCTCCCTATTTTTTTAAAAATTATTTTAAATTTAAACAGAATCAAAACTGCTCATAAGATCAAATGGAGTTATTACAATTGCAATTCATTTGTCTAAATGATTTTTAATCGAATTAAAATTTCAATTTGTATATTTTAATTAGTTTAAATAAAATTTAAAAAAATTTCCAGTAGTGTATGCGCGACAATTTTTTGTCAAATTTTTAGGGACAGGATCCTTAGGGTTAGGCAAGACTTGCAAGAATACCCTGTAAATTGTGCTTGACCCATTCGGTACTTTTTCGTTATGCCGCCCACAAACTGAGTGCTAAACGAATTTGATCGGCTATAACTTTTTGATGCTTGATCCAATATAAATGACTTTTATATCTTTTTTCTAATAGGATAGATCAGGTCTGATCACTCCTAAAAAATTATGTACCAAAAACGTGAAAAACATCAGATAACTTCGGTTATAACTTAAATTTTTTAAGGAGTGATCAAATTTAATATATCCTATTAGAAAAGTTACAGCTTATCTAGGGCTTTGGAATGATATAAAATTTATTTTTATTGGATCAATCACAGAAAAGTTATAGCTATCAAATTCGTTTGGCACTCAGTTTGCGGTCGTATAACGAAAAAGTACCAAAATTTCTTTTAAATTGTTGAAACTTTTTAAAAATTCTAGACAAAAAGTAAGTTTTTTTAAATTTTATTGTCTATTTAATTCCCTCAAACAGTTGCTTGTTTTTTCTAGTAAAGAAAAAGTGGGTGATTTAATCAATTTAGTGAAAAAGATGAGGTAAAAACCCTGCAATAATCAAACTTGCTTTTTATTTGATTTACTTTTAAATTTATTTTTTTCTTGCAAAAAAATTTGTTAAAATAATTAAATTTTAGTTAAAGTTTATCGAATTTAATTATCTCACTACAAATATTAGATACCTCTTATCATAAGGTAGGATTTCTCAGTCTCATGGGCGTATCTTAAATTTAGGTCTGATTATCTAAATATTGTTAGGCAAAATTAGGAGTGTTTTATTATTAAATTGAATTACAGTAAATGCTCTAATTAAAGGCCCAGCTCTATTAGAAGCCCATATATCTAATATAAGCCCACCCAGGTTGACCCATTGAAAAGTAGACGCCCAGGACTTTAATTAGAGCATATACGGTATTTAAAATTGAAATATTCAAAACTTTTTCAAAATCCTTTATTTTTTAGTTCTCGGAAATAACCAAAATATTTCTGCATGATCCTTCCCTAAATGAAACAAATTTTAAATAGAAAATTTTGCTATTTTTAGACATTAAAATTAAAAAAAACTTAAAATTTTGGGTACACCCCAATCTACCGCCGAGCTATAACTTTTTTCAAAATTATCGAATCCGTGACGACTTGGTATGGTTCGATGCGCCTCGACGAGCTGAATCGAATCATATCAGGGCGTCCCGGATTCGACAATCATGAACGAAGTTATAGCCCGGCGTTAGGTTGGCCTTGCGGTAGGCTTGCCTGCTTCCAAAATCTTTGTCCATTCTTAAATTTAATAAACGTTTCTTTTGTAATTATTTACATATTAAATTTGCAAAATTTCTTTTTCAATTTTGTAGGAAATTTAACAAAAATAATTCTTATTAATTAAAAATAAAATCTAAAAAAATTAATTTAGGCAAAAAATGGAAATAAAATTAATTTTGTTTTTAATTCCAAAAATTCTAATTATTTATTTATTAATTATTAAAATTAATTGTCAACATTTTGAAAAAAGTAGAAGTGTTTGGGTTGAGCAAGGATTAGTTAAAGGAAAAATATTTAAAATTGATGGGCAACAAATGCAGATATTTAGAGGGATTCCGTTAGTTTTTTTAATTAAATAAATGGAAATGCCTCACAGGATACCGTATATGCTCGAATAATTACCCTCTCTCAAATAATTACCCCCTCATTTTCTTACAAAAATCTTAAATATATTGAAAAAGTCATTGTCAATTTTAATTATTGAAGCATTTTACTAATCAATATCACAAGCTAAATGAATTACCTCCTCGATTTATTGAGATATACCCCAAATTTAGTACCTCCCCTCGAATAATTACTCCCTCCAGCGAGGAGGTAATTACCCCCTTCCACGGTAAATTATTCCATGGTAATTAGATCATTAGTTAAGATGGATTTTCTGAAATTTTGAAAGTTAACTATAACCAAAATTTATATGAATAAGCTAACGGGTGGTCTCAAACCGTCTCAGACTCTGTGGCTTTAGACCCAATTCCATTTTTGAAACTCTAAAACGACAAATTTTTCATTTTTTCGCCACTAAAAATTTTCTATAAACATTTTAGCTATGCAGAACCTCCGATTGGTGAATTAAGATTCAAAAAACCACTAAAAAAAGAAAAGTGGGAAAGAGAATTTGCCGCTATTGACTACGGGCCTCCTTGTCTTCAATTTATGGACTTTCACAGAAATGACCGTTATTCTGGCAAAAATATGCAACTGGAGAGTGAAGATTGTTTAACTTTGAATATATTTGCACCTTACGTAATTATTAATGGAATTAAATTAATTAAGATTTTATTGAGTCTTGTAATAAGTAGGTCTGGCAAGAGGATAGTCGAAGAATTCAAAAATAAATAGTGACAAACAACTACCTGGGCTCACATAAAATTAAAAAAAGAGGGGGGGGGGGAGGAGAGGGCAAAAATTCCAACTAGGGTTGTTCACTACCGGTTATTAACAGGGTTCCCCGGTTTTCGACTTCCGGCTGTCGGCTCCGGTGTTTGTCAGACCCCCGGTTTTCGGTTCCTGTTTTTTCGCCAAAAACACCGGTTTTCGGTTCGGTTCAGTTAACCGATTGAAAACAACCCTAGTTTTAGCTATTCCATCTTTATAAAAATTATTCAGGACTCTGAAGATGAAGGCGGCTTACATCCAATCCTCGTGTGGATTTATGGAGGTTCTTTTCTAGCCGGTTCTGCAGACACAGGCATAGATATGGAAGTACTTGCTAGGAATATTGTCTTTCGCAACATTACATTCATTAGTGTAAATTACCGACTTGGACCTCTTGGATTTATGTCTTTAAGTCACGGAGCAGCAGATGGCGGAAAGACAATAGAAGGGAATTTTGGACTTTGGGATATTGCTGTAACTTCTAATTAGATGTTATTCCTAATAAAAATTTTAGTTAGCCTTGGAATGGGTTCAACGAAACATAAAACAATTTAATGGCGACCCAAACAAAGTAATTATCGGCATTTGTGAAGAATACGGTCGCATTTAGAAATGAATTTGTTTTTTTTTTGAAACGAGTGTGATTTCTGCGATCCCATTCTTCATTAGTGCCACACTATTTTAAACTACCTATGCATAAATTTAAATACCATTTAAAAGGTTACTCTTATGGGAGAGAGTGCTGGCTCTGCAGCAGTTTCAGCATTAGCTGTTAGTCCTTTAACAAAAGAATTATTACACGGAGCAATTACAATGTCAGGATCAGCAAATGCTGGTTGGGCAATACACCGTCTACAAGGGAGTAGTCCACAATGGGATATGGTTAATATTGCTGATTATATTCGATGCAATAAACTAATCGCTGACCAAGTAATAAAACTAAAAAGGATTATTTATCTACCGTATATCCCGACCCCTCACTTTTAAACACCTAAAAATTGTGTAATTCACAATACATATCAGTAGTGCGCGGCAAAATCATTTTTCCGGGCCCGGAAACCGGATTTTGAATTTCACACTCATGCCGGACCGGATCCGGCCGGATTTTTCCGGATTAATCCGGTCCGGTTTTAATCCGGTAAAAATAATTTCCGGAGTCCGGCAGAATTTATCCGGATTCCGGACCGGATCCGGAATTTTTTCCGGATTTTTCGAGAAATTTTTTTTTGATTTTTAGTTTTAATATGTCGTAAGAATTGAGGGATTTGAAGTGATTAAGACGGTATAAGAGTGTATAGGCTTAAGAGGGACATTGGGGAACATAGAGGGATTAAGTGAGCTAAGAGATTTATGAGGATTATTTGAGATATAGGAGATATAGACAACGGGGGATAATGTTCCGACAATGGGGAAGGTTGTCCAACACGGAGACCTTGAGATCTATTACTATAAGTCTCTATATCCATGGTAATCAACCTTAATCAAAAATAACCCGCATACTCCACTAAATAGATGTATTTACCTTAATCCACCGATATCCCCTATAATCCTTTAAAATCCCTTTATACCACTCCACAGTTATCCTTGCCGATGTCACGCACATCTCTTGATATTCACTTAAATCCCCCAACTCCTCCTATATCCCTCTTAATCCTTTTTAATCAGATTAAACAACAAGGACTCAGCTGAGTTATATACATGGAGAACTGTTCCAAGGGCAAGGAATGTTATTCCGAGAACGAGAGACGTTGTTCTGAGAAAATTTGATGGGTAGATCAACCGGATTCGACCGGCCACGCTTAACTGATCCCAACCCCCACTTTGAAAGCGATAAATAATTCACCCTTTTCAGCGCCGCAGGCGAAAATTTTTTGAAATTCAGAAGGCTAATGGTCAAAAATCCTCATTTTTTATAAAAAAATACAAAAAAGTGGGAAAATCTTAGAACCGGATCAAATCCCAAATCCGGTACAAAAAATTTGCCGGATTCGGATCCGGATTCCGGATTTGGCAATGGAGCCGGACCGGATCCGGCCGGATTTTTCCGGATTAATCCGGTCCGGTTTTAGTCCGGAAATTTCAAAAAAACCCGGATTTGGGATCCGGACTCCGGAAAAATCCGGCCGGATCCGGTCCGGTGCCGCGCACTACATATCAGGGCTGTGCGTCATGGCGTTTGGCGTTTTGCGTTTTGGCGTTAATTTTGGCCGATTTTTGGCGTTTTGCGTTTGGCGTGATTTTCCGATTTTGGCGCGCCAAACGCCAAAAATATACACCCCTAATGATGGAAATTTTTGAAATAAATGGAGAAGGGATGATCGAAAAAGGAAATTTTTCTGCCTACAGTCATTCAAAATTCTCAAAATTTTCGCCTGCGGCGCATAAAAAATGAAGAAATCTGCTGCTTCGACTTCCAAAATTTTCAAAATTTTCGCCTGCGGCGCTTAAAGGAGGAAGCCCTTATCTTAAACTAATAGATGGTAGAAAAAAAACTTTAGTCCCATCAACGTTTACTCTCTTCATTACCTTTGTTATACTCATTACTCCCATTATCCCTTGATATCCAACTTAATCTCAAGGAGTTCTATGAATTTCTTATTTTTTAAAATTTTTTAAAGGATGAATTTCGGCTTCTTTACCTCCAAAATTCTCAAAAATTTCGCTCCGGCGGCAAAAAAAGGAGGAATTCTGGCTTCTGGGAATCTTGAAAATTCAAAAAATTTCGCTGCGGCGCTAAAATGAGATGAACAGTGGTTTTTAAGTCATTATAGACTCTAAAAATTTTGGCGTTTGGCGTTTTGGCGTTAATTTTGGCCGATTTTTGGCGTTTGGCGTGTTTTTAAAATTTGAAAAATTGGCGTTTGGCGTTTGGCGCGCCACGCGAAAATTTTGGCGCACAGCCCTGATACATATAACATATGTTTGTTAAAATGTGGGGCGGAGGGTGAGTGGCTGCCTAAATTTAAAATACTCGTCATTATAAATCACAGTTTTTTACCAAAATATTATCTAAAAGTAAGAGTGTAGATCAAATAATCTTTTTTATTTTCCAGGATTTAGATGACGTCCTAGCCCTCCTCCCACAATCGGAACGTTCTCGAGTACAAGCCGCCGACTTTCACGCTTTTAGAAGTTCCCAACGTGCCTGTAATCTTCAAGAGCACATTCCAGATTGTTTAAATCATGGAGGGCCGATGAGTGCACCTGAATTGCTGTCTTGTTTTCGAAACGAGCTTAACTTTAGTGAAAATCCTTTATTTTGGAGAGCATTGGCTGCTGAGCTTGGAGTTTCAAAAATGGTTGTGGATGGAGAGTTAATAGTTGAATCAGGAATTGAAATGATCAGACAAGGGGCTCGAGTGCCTATGATGACTGGGGTTGCGAGGAAAGAATGGGCACATAAAAAACGTAAAGAATATTTTTAGGCAAATAATTAGGGAACAAACAAGTTTTGGAGACTTAAATTAAATTAAGAAGGATTTCCTTTCCTTCTGGGTTTTCTTTCCCTTTCTTATCCTTTTCCCCTAATTTTCAGTTTATACTTAAATTAAAACCAGAAATAAAAATTTCCATTTTTAGCATCCTTCTATCAATTTTACCGTTATTCAAATCTTAGCCGTACCCAAGTAGAGGAGAGTGTGCGCAAAATAGTCGAGAATGCTTTTGCTGAAACTCTTTCCCACAGAATTTCAAATTCAACAATAGACTTAATTTCTAACGCTACATTTTTACGTTATATACAGGCAAAAACAAAAATTTTTAATTTAAAAATATTTTTTAAATATTTTTAGGATTTAGAAATAGATTATGAAATGCCTGCAGTTGTTGCAAGACTTCAAGATTTGGAGTCTGACGTGGAATTTGTAGCTCCATGTCAAAGCGAAGTTGAAGCTTATGCTTTGAATGGAGTGCCTGTTTTTGCTTATTCTTTTGATTATGTCCCGAAAGGGTCTGTTATAGAGGATGACAGAAGATTTTATTCAATGTTTGGGAATGCCCCTGTTGGGTTAAAAAGGAAAGACCAACATTTAAAATGTGAGAATAAAACAAAAATAAGACACACATTATAAGTCAACACATGGAACCCGGTGTGGTATGATTAGGGGCCACTAGAGATGTGCGAGACTCTTGGTCTTGGTCTTGGAACCAAGACTTTTCTTGGTTTTTTTTCGGTCTTGGTCTTGGTCTTGGGGTGTTTGTCTTGGTCTTGTCTTGGTTTTATTTTTTGGTCTTGATTTTTTAGCCTCTTTGGATCTACTGATTGGCCTTCCAAAATCCTCAAAATTTTCGCCTGCGGCGCTGAAAAAGTGAATTTTTTTGGCCTACCGCCTTCTAAAATTCATAAAATTTTCGCCTGCGGCGCAGGAAAAGGAAGATTTTTGGCTTCTTGGCCTTAATAATTCCCAAAATTTTCGCCTGCGGCGCTAGAAAAGGAGGAATTCTGGCTTCTTAGCCTTCCAACATTTTCGAAATTTTCGCCTGCTAATATCCCCCTTAACTAAATAATCCACCCAAATCCTCTTAATTAATATATCTCATTGATTTTCCACCCGGATAAATTCACCAAAATTCTTTGAATTTCGGATAAATTCTTTGAATTTCGCATAGATTTTTCGAAATTATAGGTGATTGTGCTGAAGTTGACTGTGATCGTGTCAAAATAACAAAAAATAAACCAAAAATTTGACCTATGGCACCTAAAAATTGTCTCGAGTTTTGTATTATTTTTGGTCTTGAGTCTTGGTGTTTTGGTCTTGGTCTTGAGTCTTGATCTTGGAAAAATTTTTGTCTTGGGTCTTGAGTCTTGAGTCTTGGAAAAATTTCGGTCTCGCACATCTCTAGGGGCCACGATTCATTTCACTCCCACGATTCAACTCCGCGCCAGCTCAGTTAAAAATGTTTATTTTGTTAATTTTTCAGCTCAGTTAATAAATTTATTAAATTAAATCAAAAATGACTGAATGGAACTGGACTTAACCAGTCTGGAATGGAGTTCTGTCGAGATTCGAAATCTCTAAAATAACCCTTATGGGTCTGAAATGTTAGTGCCGGGAATTACTAATTAAATGTCGGAATTCTCCGATACATAAGTGTATTATTTAGAAAGAGAGAATTAAATTAACCAAAAGAATTCTTAAATTTATTCAGCACACCGTCTTGAGGCATTTCACGGACTAGATCATGCTTTTATCTTTACCCAAGGATATTCTTCTAATTTTCATATCGAGCCTTTCAGTCGGCGTGACAAAACAATGTCTCGTCTTTTAACAAAGTTTTTGGATATTTTGATAAATTAAAAATAAAATTCAATTAAAGAATGATAGCCAATTTTGTAACGACCGGAGATCCTTCAACTGGAAATTTTACATGGGCATCAAATACAAACGAGTCTTTATATTATACTTCTTTGGATTTACCTCCAAAGTATTTTAAAAATAATTTAAATTAATTCAAGTTTAAAAAAGAATTGTGCGTGGTGCTATACATTCCCCTTCTCCATCATTTTGGAATGATGAAGTTCAAATGCTTTCAAAATATCAGTTAGCAGATGCTGTGAGTAGAGCAAATGAACAAGCTGCGAGTGAATTGTAAAATATATTTGATTTGTTTTTATTTCGAAAGTATTTTGTTTTGTTAAGTGCTCCTTCCATCCAGAGGTGGGTCGGAATTCCGATTTCCGACGTTTTTTCCTTCCGATTTCCAAAAAAATTGATTCCTGATTTCCGAGTTCCAACTTTTCAGCCAGTTCCGATTTTCGGCTCTTCCGATTTCCGACACCTCTGACTGTTCCGACCCACCACCTCTTAAAATGCTGATAAGCTATTTAGAGTTAGGGTTGGGGAAGGCTGACTCCTTTCACAAAATCCTTTCACTCAGAACCTTTTACTATTTTAACCAAATTTACAAAAACAGAATTTAACTATTTAAAAATTATTCAGAACATGGGAAGAACGAATGCAACTTCGTGCCTATAAACGCGCTTGGTATGCCCTTTGGGTATTTGTTTTTGCAATTGCCGTAATAATATGGCTAATAATTGTTTGTGCTGTGTGTCATTGGAGTAGAACCCATAGCGATAAAGCTTATGATAATATTGTTATTGAAAGATAAAATTTTTTTGATATTATATGAATCTAAAATATATTTAATGATCTCGATAAATTTAAATGAAAGATTAATTTACCTATTTATAAAGTAAAGGCATATCTCTATTTAATTCATAAGAAAAGTACGGATTTTTATTGATATGTATGTCGAAAGAAGCCCAAATAAGCAATTAGTTTCTCAATATTTTGATTTTTAACAAGGTTGTATTTTGCTGCTTTATAAAAAAATTTTTCTATTACTCAAGAAAAAATTCCAAAAATTATATAGGTAATTAAATAGAGCACAAATTGAACTAATTAAAAATATTTATCTTATAATTTTTCTTTGAAATTATAATTTTTAACGACTTTTTCCGAAAACAGTTATTCCGGAAACCATGTTCTGAATTTTCTGGAAATTGTTTTACCCTCAATTTAATTTATTTCTGTAAAATATACTATAATATTTTTTAAAAAATTATCCATTTATTCAAAAAAATATTAATAAATTTTAAAGATTCTCCAAAAACAAAAACTTTAAAAGAATAATAATAGAGGTGAATGTCAAGTATACTTTATAAACAAAAGAAAATAAATATTTAAAGAAATTTCCCCATTTTTTCTCTTCTTTTTAATTAAATTAATTATTAAAATAAAGAAACAGAATAAATATTTTAATGGAAAAATATATTAAAATAATTATTATTACCTTTCCATTTTTAAATTATAATTCTGCATGTATTCCTACTTCATCTTCAAGTAACCCTATTAGTTTAAGCGAAACTACTACATTAGAACAGCAACAGCAACAAAGAAGTTGTGAATTTATAAAAATTAAATTAATTTGAAAAATTAGAGGAAGTGAATTGGGGGAATTGGAAGAAGAAAGTGGGAGGGAAGGATATAGTTAATTAAGGATTAGGGTTGCTGTAACTCGGACTAGGAGGCGACATTCAAGTCATTTTTTCGGGCCTTATTTTTATCTGGCCGGCAAGCCTAGTCTTGACATCAGAACTTTACGTCGCCAGAATATCTTGTTAAAATCCCTTTCCGAACTCTAATTTGAAATTGTCGATATTAATGATTTTTTTGTTAAAAAATGAATTAATTCGTCAATAAATTAAAATTTAGTTTAATTTAAAATTTTAAATTTGAAAATAAAAAATTATTAAAGATTAATATATTTTCTAAGAGGATTTCGAAGAAATAGAAGAAAGCGGGAGGGAAGGAATAGTTAACTCAAATTATTCAGGAACAGATTAATTTAATTAAATAATTGAAATAATTGTAATTGAACGATTTTTCTGTTAATTTAAAAATAAATTTAGTGAATGGAACTACTCCAAATCCATCCCCAACATCACTAACTAACAATACTAGAGGTGTTATTAATTAAATATTAATAAAAAATAAAATAATTCTCCCCTTAGGATGTCAACAATGCAGGGATATGCTTATTGTCAGAAGAAGCGATGCAAATTCCATAAATATTGGGCAGTCTTTGGAAAGGGAAAATACTTTAGATGGATGTAAATTTATTTTAATTTAAATTTTTTAAAAATTAAAATTAAAGGTGAAGAATTAACAATAAGTTGTTTTGGCAATCCAGGCAATACAGCTTTAATTGTCTCTGTAAGGGAAATTTAGAAATTTTAAACAATAAACTTTTTAATTTCAAAAAAGTATTTTAATTCTTCTGGTTCTGATGTTGGGGCAACATTTGGATCTACTTCTATATCAACAACTTTACGTTGTAATGATAACATTCGATGGACGATAACTGGGAATTTTAGTAGTGCTAGTACTGAAGTTGAGGAAATTGAATGTATATCTACTTAAATAACCTCTATATTCTTATTAAATAATTTTTGATTGTAAAGTCCCGATATTTTAATAAATATTCTAATTAAAGATTTTATGTGAATTAGACTTTTCTTAAGTTTTTTCGGTCTTGACTTTGTTGAGCTTTTCTAAATGCACATACCTAAGGATTGAATTTTTTGAGAAAAGTAAGGAGGAGGAAAAGAAAAAATTGGGGACATGTATGAAGATAATAGTAGTTGTAGACTCTCAGCTTTTCCTTCCAAATTTGATTCATTTTTCATATGTTCTACAAAATTATAGGTGTTCGTGTTTAAGGTTAATTAAAAAAACCAAAATTTTGTCCTAGGAGACCAAAAAATTGTCTAAAGTCTTGGGTCAGGTCTTGGTCACACGTCGTACAAAATTTCGGATCTTGGAAGCTCTATTACTTACATAGCCTAATGTGTACTTTTTTGGAAAAAGGAAAAGGACAGGAAAAAAAGTAAAAAGTGGGGGAGATAACCGATTATCAAAAAATTATTTTAGAATAATTTTTCTAAATTTTATTAAAAAAATATTACTTTCCCAAATTAATCATCATTAAATATGTACATATTATTTTTTTTCAATAAATACTACATACCGTATTTCCTGAAATAGTACTCCCCCCTGAATTAGCACTCCCCCCTTAAATAGTACTCCCCTTTAGAGGAGGGTTGAAAAATAGTACTCCCCCCTGAATTAGTACTCCCCCTAAAATAGCACTCCCCCCTAAAAATTTTTCTCCTATATTTGAAAAAATAAAAAGAGACTCATTGAATTATTTTATTTATTCTAAGTAGCGTTGTCGGTTTCACTTGATTCTCCGATAAACAAAACCGGAAAGCCTTCGGTTAACCGAAAACGAACTGAAATTTTAACCTAAAATTTTTCGGAGATTAAAGAAATACAATCCGGTTAATTGGTGGGGTAAAAGTGGATTTTGGGGGATATAAAGGGATTGATATCTGATGATAAAATGGGTTCTGGATTGATCAAGTAGGATTTAAAAGATATCATTGGATTAAGGTTTGATGAAGGGATTTGAGGGGAATACACACAAGATTAGTTAACCCTATGAGATTAGTTAATAGAGGGATACACACGAGACTAGTTAACCCCCTGATAAATTCCTAGACAGAGATATTTCCACTATATCCCAAAAAATTAATTGATAATCATTTTATTAATATCATTTTATTATTATTGATAATCATTTTATTATCATTTTAATATCAACTTTATCCCCTCAAATCTCACGATATCGCTTTTAATCAAAAATTACCTGGCATCCCTACTAATCCGCTAAAACGTCAATATCCTTCTCAATCCTGATAATTTTTTCGACATCCAACTTAATCTATCGATATCTCTTAATCGCTTAAAATCCCATTATACCCCTGGATATCACTCCAAATCCACTAATATCCTTTTTGCTTTCCCTCAATAACCCTATTTTAAGTCACTTGTGTTTAAAAGTCTCGCAAGTTGCTCAATTTTATACTAATTTGGAATCCACATTTCTTGAAAATCCAAATTTGGATCCGGCATTTTTCAAATTACGAACTCTAATTGATTTAAACATTTAAAATTTTGAGACAAATTTTCCTAAGATAAATCATGGAGGTAGGTTGAAAAATAATACTCCCCCCTGAATTAGTACTCCCCCCTTAAATAGTACTCCCCTTTGGAGGAGGGTTGAAAAATAGTACTCCCGGGAGTACTATTTTAGGAAATACGGTATATATAATTTTAATAAATTGATGATTTGTTTTATTTTAAACAAAAATTTATTTAAATATTTATTTATTAAAAAACTTTAAAAATGATTAGAAATATTTTTATTGAATTATTTTTCTTTATCTTAATTAAATATGTTATATCTTTTGATATTATAGGTTATCATTTAATCAAAAGTGAAAATAATGAAGACAATCAAAAGTAAAAATATTATCAACAATTTTATGAAAATAATTCTTTTTATTTAAAGGATCTGGCAATAGTTTAACTTACCATCCCCCTTTTTGCTTGAAATATAATCTATTATATATCATTCGAAAGAACTCGTCGAGTTGATTCGAAAACTATTACCAAGAAAAATCCTTGGTAATAGTTTATATATCATTCGAAAGACTATTACCAAGGAAGTTGTTGATTAAAAGAATACAAAAATTCAGGAAACAAGCAGAAAACAAGCCATAATGTAAATTTTCCCAGTTATCCGCAGAAAGAGGTTGTAAAAAAGAGATTGGGGTTGAAAAAGGAGTTGAGAAAAGGTTTTAAGGGGTTGAGAGCCTCGGTGAGGGAGACATTAGCTCTGACTGAGGACTTCCCACGATCCCAAGTGCATCACCGTCCCCTAGGACGGTGGTGAAACTCACTGTGACATCAAATTCATCAATAAATTTCACAAATAAAATTTAAAAAATTTTTTAAAGTTATTATCTAACTGATGCAATCATTCATCATAACATACCCTATTTAAATATGGATCAATGTATGCTACGGCCTGGCCAGAAAGAAATAGGCAGTTTTGCATTAATTTTTATGAGACCTTCTGAAATGATTTGTGATGAGTAAATTTAATTTAAATTTTTTAATTAAAAATTTCTTTTAAAAAGTTTGTTAATTTGCTATCCAAGTCAATTAGTTGGAAATAATACAGTAAATGGAATTATTGCAACAATCCCTTATAGACTTCGAGAAGCAAGAAAAGTATTTTTTTAGATGAATTGGGGGGGGGGGGGGGGGTGGTAATATTAAAGGGAGTCAGTAACGGTCAATCTTCATTGATACTTGGGCCTTCCATTATTCCTGCTTATATCCACATCCGTAATTTTTGTATTTAATTTGAAAAAAAAGGTCTCTAAGTTATTCTGTTTTTCTAGGAGATATTCCTCAGCAGTGTTGGGTATTGGGCACTTGTTGGTTCCGGCTCCGGGGTTTTCAAAATCCTAGTTCCGGCCCCGCCGGAAGTAACTTCCGCATACCTAGCACGGTTCCTTATTTTTTTCTTTTCGTCTCCCCAATGAAAACCCAAAATTAAAATAAATTTTTAAAAATAATTTTAATGACAATTTTAAAAGAATAATATCACAAAAAGATGCGAAGAAAAACGTAAAGAATTTTGTGAAAAAATAGAAAATAAACATTTATGTTCTACTAATAGTCAGCCTGGTTCAACTATTTGGCATGGAATTGAGTTATCTACTAAATATAAATTAAAAAATATAATCACATATATTTCATTGTCTATCACCAGAGAAATGTATGTTTTATTTAAATCTCGGTAATTATTTTTGAATCCTGAAAGTTGTAAACAGTGATTGGAATTTTGAAATTTGCTCGTACTCGTACAAGCCCTTTTTATCCTCTTATCTCGTACTCGTACTTTTCCATTTTTTCTCTCGTACTCATACTTCGTACACTGTTCGGACTCATAAACTGCTATGGGACTCATAAACCTTAATTGAACTCAGAAACATTGAATACCAAACTTTCATTGGACTACTGAACTAGACTAGAGCCAAAAATATTCATTTTATTTTAGTTTTGAATTAAAAGATGTGCCATATTTTAACATTGAATTTGGTCGGAAAGAAGACATATTTACACGATTATATCCACACTATATAACAGGAGGTATGCTAATAATATTAAAGAAAATCTCAAAATCATTAACTGGATATTAAACTTTAGTATGATACTAAAGTTTCCCAATAAGGACCACCCATAAGAATCCATTTTTTCGTGTTACTCATACTTTCTAGGTACCTATTATGTCTCACTTTTTCTATTATTAAATATTCATTAAATATTGGGATCTTGATAGTTTTAAGGAGTCGCATTGAACTTGATTCATTTTTTTTCAAAAATAGGCTGTTTCAAAATTATAAGGTCTGTGTTTCAATCCGTTTTTACTATACTATAAGTGGATCGAGAAATTCGACAAAAATTTATGTAAACATTTTCATCAATATTGGATAGAAAAACAAAAAGGATCAAGTCTGTAAACGCTTACTTCATTAAGATCTCAAAACCCCGAAATCAACGGGAAACGCGGGTACAATACTTCAAAAAATATTTTAACCCCTTAGAGCCTATTAATTGAGGAGGAGGGATTTACAGGTCACAAATTTCGTATAAATTAGTGTCTAAATATGTCAAGTGGTAAAACAAAAAATTTATTGGAAGATTATTTAAAAATTTTATATTTTAGTCGAAGAAAATCGAAAATATAGAAAGAATAAAGAAATTAATTTTATCAATGATACAAAGCTTAGAAATGAATATTTGTCCAAAGTAGGCAAAGGTGCATTTCTACATAAATATGCTGGTCTTTGGACTCTTGGATTAGATTTACTACCTCCCAGTGCTCAGAGATCTTTGCATTTATTTGTTTACCAGGGATGTGTTTGTGGAATTGAAGCTTTTGTAAGATACCGTAAATATCCTAATAGAAGCCCATCCCTAATAGAAGCCCATGCCCTATTAGAAGCCCATCTGTATTTTGAATGCATATTTTTCTATTACCTTTGTTTTAGTTGTCTAAAAGTATTGATAACGAGATTCCAATTGCCTAAAATGAAAATAGAGGATTTGATGTAATATAGCGAGATATGAAGGATTAATTATGATTCATCACGAGGAATATGAGGTATTAAGAGGATTAAAAGGGATTTAGAAGCTTAAGAAGTTCTAACGAATTGGGAATAAGAGTTGGATATCGTTGCATATCAAGGAATTAAGGGATATATAGGGATTTTGAAGAAGACGGGGGGTATTGAAAAATATAAGCCCAGGGCTTATATTAGGATATTTAAGGTAATTAATTTGATAAAAAATAAGTTTATCAATCAATGATTATTAATAAATATTGATAAGGATTTTTGTAATTCTCTTTAATCTTAGTTCAAAAATCCAACAACACCAGGACAATTGTTCCCCAAAATAGAAAAAACCAAAAGGGCTGAACTGGAACAAATATTTAATTCAAAATGTACGGAACGAAGAACAGATAACACTACATTCTCATTGGGCAAAAATATAGCCGAAAAAGGAAGAAAGATTAAATTTACTATAATGACTAGTTCCAAAAAAATTGAAATAGTAGAAACTCAGCAGCACCCACTTTCCCCCATTCTTAGTGTTAAGCAGCCAAAAATTTTTGGTAGAATTATTTTGTTAAATGATAAAAACGTCACTGTTCTTGAAATTCGAATGTATGAAAATGTATTTGCATTTGGCCCTAGAAGTGTATGTTTCTAACAGACCTGGTCATGGATACGGATAT